AAAAAAAAACGCCCCTTTGGACGTAATTTAAAATCTGAAACCTAACCTTTCAGATTTTTTTCTCTGTTAATTTGCTAATACTACTTTGAAATTTGAAATATTCTGGGCAACCACGGTAGCTGTAGCTGACATGAGGTCTGCTACAGAAAATACAAACAAGTGTTTCTTTTTTTGACTTAAGGCATACTTCCTATCCCCCAATGGCGAGCTGGCATTGGCCAGATGTGGTGGTCTCTTTATTATGGAGGCACCTAATAGGTGGGCCACCATTGCCTCCTATATTATTGTCTTGTCCATATTACATACAACTACTATACCGTCTGGGCGGCTAGCTTTTGTACTTGTTGTCATGGAAAGCTCTTAACGGTTTTCATTTTGTATTATTTCAATCCTCATATGTTTATTTTTTAGTCCTTAACATTCTGAAACAGCGAAATGTATCTAGTTGCATAACATATAATTATTAAATAATTAACAAATGAAAGTGTCAACAGCATTGAAATTTAGCACTGAATTGAATAGATAGTTCGGTAACAACATACTGTCGAGATTTCAATTTTCAGATGGCATAATTTATTTCAAAATGGTTGTGAAAAAGTTGAAAATGTGACTCATACTCGTCAGCCAAAAAGAAGAATGACAAAGAGAAAAAATTCGACAAATTCGTATCGTCATTTATGAAGACAGACGAATAAATAATTCATGAAATTAATGACAAAATATCTATAGGTTATGGAAAGCAGTTTAAGATTCGGAAAAGGTTAAATTTCAAGAAATCATAGTAAAGTCGGGGCTTCCATTTTTGGACACATATCGAAAGGCTGCAAAAACAGAAATGAGATAGAGAAATTTCAATTTATAGATGAAGATGCACTTTTTTTTAATGGGCTTTTCATCCCATGATGAATGGTAGATGATCCATTGTTAGACACTTGAAATAAAGCGATTTAATACGTATTAGGGCATAAAAAAGAGAAACTGATCCACTGAAAGCAAAAACTCGCTTTCATTCTGGCAAAATCCTCATTGATATATTAGAATTCACGGCATACTGTATATGTCAGTTTTCTTCATGGACGATGTCAGGTTAATGCAGTATATTTCTCTTAACATTTGGAGAAGCTTATCAATTCAAAAGACATTCCGTTTTGATCCGAAATGAACATCTTCTGCAGGACAATGTAAGATACAAGCAGCTTGTGTAACGCAACAAAAATTATAGAAATTTTAATAGAAACACTTCAGTACCCTCCCCCTCTTACAGCCAAATTTAGCATCTTCGGACTACCATTTTTGGACCGCTTATAAGGCATTTCTCTCGCCTTCTTAGCATGCTATCGTAGAGTAATGGTCAGCACCACGCATTCCAAAGGTTTCTTGGTTCGATTCTCGGCGGAGGTGTTGCTCCTTTTTCATGACTTTTGCTTCCAAAAATAATACCAATATCTCTACACGCTTAAAGAAGCATTAAAAACATAAAAGTCTCATCCTATGGAAAAGTCAACTATTTTGTGTGCCACTGTGTTCATACCAGTGGCGTAAATAAGGGTATGCAAGGAATGCCGTCGCATAGGGGGCCCTTAAATGTCCTGCTGAACTACATTTACATGTTTAAACTTAAAAGACGGATTCCATTACATAGCTTTAATTCATTTTCCCTTGATTAGTTCGGAATTAGAATTTCAATAAAAGAAGATTAATTAATATTTTTTTATTTTTATCTTGCATTTTTTTCCCTTTTGCTTTTCATTTTTATTTTTAGAATTTGTACTACTATAAATTCTTATTTTAATTTTGATATGTTTTGATTTTGTGTTAAACCCCTTTTGCACGATTGTTAACATTAATATAGTTGAGGAATAGCCTTCATTTGACTCCAATTTACTTTTAGCTTTAGAATCCTTAAGTATATGTAGATAATAGAATTCGTTTTCTTTTAAGTTTTTTAAGGGCCCCCTACCTATTTGGTGCAGTGACACAATTATCTATATGACGCAGATAGGAGACCCTTGGAAGCACCTGAAACAGCTAAATTCAAGTGTTTGCAAAAGTTAAAATTCCAGCATTCGACTATGAAATAATAACTTCATGACCTACCACAGTTTAGGGATAGCAGTAAGCGGAAAATAGGAAAAGTTTCTTTGTATTCTTTAGTCTCAAACCTGAAAATTATTAAAGGCGACCCCCTAAAGGAAAGGTTTCTCCTTTTGCAATCCCAAATCAAAAAGCGGTGGAAGTGGAAATTAATTGTAACTATTTATTATAAACTACTTATTTTATGTATTAATTTGTTTCTGTATAATTCGCATTATAATCGAATAATCAGTAGACATATTTTCTTTTTTTTCTTAATGCATCCTACGTCGACATGTTCCTTTTTTTGTAGACTTATTCATTTTATATAGACTTATTCATTTATTATCAGTATGCATCTCAATGAAAGGAGAGAAAAATCTGTCTCTCGCACTCACACAAAGTCTTAAGTAACTGAATTAAAATCATCTGACGTCAAATACTCAGACTAAAGCAAATTTTCATTTAACCAGTTGGTCAAGGGAAATTATTTTCCTTTTTATTCTTTCTTCACGTTACGTATCTTTCAACTGGTTCCCTAAAAACGTGCTTTTATTTTTTAAAAATTAATACAGATGTGCTAAAAATCATCATGAAAAAATTGCCTCCTGGAATCTTTGATTTTTTTTTTTAATTTTTGCGTTTTTTATTTATTTATTTTTAAGCACATTAAATTTATAGGAAAAGGGGCACAGGAAAATGTTTTTGCATAGGGGCCCAAGAGTTCTAGTTACGCCACTGTTTCATACAGGTTGCACTTCGTAACATGACACAGGAATAAAATATTGTTTGTATTCGATCCACCTCGTATTTTCACACTGAAATATTCATACAATAAATAAAAAAGAATGTAGATTCAATAAATCGGAATGCGACTTACTTTCGGGCATGGGATAGGAGAGAAGACAAGCAACGCCTCCTATTATCAGAGAAGCAGCTAAGGGATTTCTTCTGCCCAAGTATCGTATAGCTATAATGCTGAGAACATATGCTGGAAACTCTACTGCTCCAGAAACTGCGAAGTTAACGAAGGGGTCGCCGGCTAGTTCGTTGGTGTTGTACGAAAGCCCATAGTACACGAAAGCATTTACGAACCTATGTAATCAAAAGAAGGAAATGTCTCATAAAATACACAAAAATATTACATATCTGCTCCATTTAAAACGAATTTTTAGACTTTAAACGCGGATCTTATGAACATAGCGATTCAACACTCTTTGTAAAATAATGAATTTTGAAAAAAGGTTTTCCTTCTGTGTACAAAAGTACATTTGCTTACACTATTCTCTATACAAGTACTAAAATAGGCTAAGTACTAAAATAGGCTAAACATCAGCATTCTCTGGTTCTATGACTAGCAAGTTTTGTGGGCACATAACTTATTATTACAAACTATTCTTTCGGAAAGCTGTTTTTGGATTCTCCCTCTCGCAAAGAAATATCTGAAAATGTATTAACTTTTAAGCTTTCCTAGCTATAAATTTTACTGAAGTATACCTAGGACAGTGTAAGCTATACTTCTGCCCTTATCTTCATTAACAGTTCTGGATGAGCGATAATTTTGTGCCTATACAAATAGGATAATTTAAACAGTTTTTTAAGGTCTTCTGTACAGATATATTTTAATGGATTAGAAATCTTTAGATAAATGGAACTTTTGAGAACTTCTGAGTCGAAATTTTTGTCTTAGGAATAAGTTATTGAATAAATCCACACAAAATTGGAGAACAGCTGTGTTCATAGCATATAAATCTTGATAATACGTATCATGTATCCAATGCATTCACAGATGTTTTCGTATTTGAACAATATTACGTAAAGATAAAGACATAAAACATAAATGCAATTTATACTTACCAAAGAAAGTACACATTCAGCGTCATTTGCCAAAGTCCGGGAGTGCGCAACAAATCTAGGAAATTTCCCGACGCTTCTCCAGACTCATGAGCCTGAAAGAAATACGTAAGTACTCATTTACTGTTTTTTTGATTTTTAGGGAACGCACGGTTTTATGCTAAACTATATAAAGTATATGCGGAGGATTTCGAAAAAGAATAAAAGAAATATTTTGTCATAAACTTTTCTGGCAACAGCTTGTTATCTGATATGCGAAATATCATCTGCTACTTTAAATTTATTCTTCTTTCAAAACATCACATGTAAAGAAGTTATTTGAACAACAAGTTGTCACATGTAAACAAGGAAGCTACAATAAGGGTTTTATGGATTGTTACACTAGAAACTTTCACGTCTGATATTTAGAAAGGAAATTTAGTTTCTTTACCCTTATGCACTTCAAAGAGGGAAACTCCATCGTGACAAAGCAATAAGTCATACTTCGGAAAACGCCACTGTGTAACTCGAATAAAATGAAGACTGATACAGGTATTGCATATATATATTTTTTATTTTATTATTACAGGATCTCTTGATATTTCACCTATAGACTATTATGTCTTTGGATTCTTCAAAAGAGCTTTTTCTAACCGCAAACCCACCATGATTATAGCAAAGTAATGAAAGGGAAAATTTTTAAAAAATAATGCTATCAAAAAATTTGCAAATTTGAATGGCAACACAGTGGAAGAGATAATCATACGTTTAAGTAATGTCTGAAATACTTTTCTGGGAAATCCGAAATAAATAACCAATTAATTTTAACCATCTCAATGTGGACATTTTCACATTAAGCAAGTGCAGGTAGAGATATGCCGCAAATATTTTAAGTCCAAGCATTTTCTAAATCTCCCTACTGCAGATCCAACAGCTACTTAAACGACTATGAAATCCTAAAAGAAACACATGACTTCTAACAAACACGGACTAACTTCGTGGTAACTTTAACAACAGAGTAACTTTAACAACTTCTCAGTTACTATTCTTAGTCATTTTTGTCACTTTTCTTGTGTTGTATCAAGATCCCATTCAAAAAGGTTGAATGAAAAATGCGGCGCAAAGTATGGGTTCACAACCTTATATCGTAGCGGTATTGAACTCACATGTACTGCAATTCAGAAGTTGCTGGGAATTGCAAAACTCTAAAAGAACACTAAATCTGTGCAAGCCTATGCATCGTTAATGCACTCTTTTCAAGAATACAGAGACATAGTAGTCTATAGGTTAATGCACACAGATTTTAAAGTACATAACATCTTTATGATCCCCCTCCTCCTGCGTGGCTTCAGTAATGACTGATAATCTGATTATTGAAAGCATGCGAAAGCTATCATGGATAATTTTCAAAGGGAAACTGTCTTCGTATTCAAATACACTATGGATAAAACCATCAAAACACATAATATAGCCAATCCATTAATTGGAATTTGAAGCTGAGTTGAATTACCAGTGCTCAGTGGTTTTACAAAGAAGGTCTGCCATAACAATATTTTTGAAAAATGTACATGAATTTCTCCATCTAAGAATATAAACCGATAAAAAATTACCTGCTGAAATTATACAGATTCAGTTAAGAAAATAGGAATTACATAAATTATAGCGTTATCTGGCTACGCGAGATTATCAAGAGATTTTCAGAATTTAAAAATGCTACATTCAAGATCTCACAGAGGATAGATTCTTGAAAGTTAAATGGTTTTCCCCACGTGTAACGCCTATACGAGCCAGTTTCCCTTAGAAAGTCATCCACGAAGGTATACCCCGTTAGGCAGATAGCCCTCGAGGCTTTGTCATAATCATTAGGCTATCACTCTAACATAGGCCATAACCATTAACATGTTAGGCTATTGTAAAATGCATAAGAACATAACCAGCGCATAACAAAACTAAAAATTTTTCGGTTCATTTTTAAAACGTCAACAATTATTAACTGCAAAATCTATGTTATTGTTACATGTGTAGAAGGCTTTTTGGAGACTTTCCGAAATTTTAAACTGCTGCTAAATTTGCCAAAAAGTTCTTCTTTGATAATCATAAACTGTACATTTAATAATTTTTGTGGATTATCTATGGATATTTAGTAGCTAATTTTAATGGATGTCTTTAATTTTTAAAGTACACTTCTAATTCTGTTTTCTTCTAACCTGGCCGAAGTTTAAATCTGGCAGACATTCCTTGTTAACGACTCTGCTACTGATGGGCCCCTTGGCTTTAAGTTTAATCCTATTCATTAAATAATCTATCCACCAAAAATTGGCTAGCGGAAGCATCTCATTCTTTGCATTCTCATCTCCACGCCGCAGTCTGGCTGGATTCCAGGATAGTGGGGTACGAAGAACTGTGTCTCGACATCAACGTGAACTAGAATAAACCCATGTGAGCTAGAACAAAAATAACGAACAGCTTATCTCAACTGAAATAAGCATTCTCCTTTAATTTTTTCTTTGGATTTATATCGCTTAGAGCTGCTTTCATTTGGCATTAGCATCCTCATTTAACAATACTCTTAGGAACTACAGCATCTTGTTGATAAACTCTGTGATGTTCACCAGTGCTTGCTATCTTCAGATCCTTTGAGACAGCTCAAAATATCAAATGGCTTAAACTAATATATCCTGAAAATTATTATAGTTAGAAAGTTTTGCATATATGCTGCATATCCCAAACATTATACAAAGGTTTTTTTCGCACTTTTTCAGACGGTTTGCTTTGATATAAAAAGAACATCCGTTATAAAAAAAATTCTGTTTTCAACTGCAGCTATATTTTTGAAAGTACAAATTATAGTCTGTTACTTAACAGCTTTGTTTTCATGCAAAATGGCGCTTTTAGAGAAGCAACGGATGGAAGACTATGTTTGTTCTCTTTCCAAAGAAAATTATTCGCATCTAGTTATTAAAAAACGCTTTGGAAGCCATGATTTTTTTACATCTAAAACTACAATAGACAACATTGTTAACAAGAAAGGACAGAAACATCATAGCCTTCAAGTGAAAAGTTGTTGCAGCTTCATATTCAATGAAAAATAAGACCTTTAATGTTAAAAGAAAATCAGCTAAGTCAAAGGACAGTTGCAAAATCATTAAAATGTCCAGTGTCAACTGCAAGCAAAGTGATTAATGTCAATTTGAATCTTAAAAAGGCGAAAAAAGTAAGCATAATCTGCATAGTCTTTCTCCACGACATGTCGCAGAAAGCAGAATGTGCTGCAGAAATCTTTGTAAGAAACATTTTTTGAATAAAAATTGGGAAATATTGTCAAAATTGGTGAATTTTGGGTGTATTTAAATGACTGCAATAAAAAGAATATCGTCGAGGAGGAGAAAAAAAGTTTTTAAACATGGATCAAAGTATCTACAGAAAGTTTGATTGTTGCTGGTTTTCATATAACGGAAAATGAAAAGTAAAGAGAGTGGAGAAAAGTATTAAGATCAATAACCACACATTATCAGAAACATATTTCATACCCAGTTTTCCAAACATGAAATACCCCCTCTTTACCCTCTATGTCAGCAATCAGTGACATAGTGGGTAAACATCATCATCTAATCAGTGACATAGAACTACATCAAGACAAAGCAAGCTACCGCACGTCAAAAATCCACTGTTAATTTCCTGGAAAAAATGGAAAAAGAAAAAGGTATCAAGGCCATACCCTTCAGTCGTATCCCTACTAAATCTCTTGATATATCATCCACGGATTTTTGAGGTTTTTGAACTTTTAGAAAGTGGTTTAGCCAAACGTGAACCTGCAACTCTTCTTGGACTTTGGAAAAATGTTTAAGAGGAGTGGGATAAAATACCTCTTTCGTTACTGAAAAAGGCTTTATTGTGTTGGAAATTACAGTGCAGAAAGATAGTGAAATATTATGCTTCTCAAACAGAACATTTAAAACACAAAAATTTAAGTACAATATTTCTGTAAATACAATGAAAATCGTCTAAAACGTGTTCGTTATACTGACTATTAGACTACTACTAGACTATCTGTACTATTAGACTGACTGAGACTAATAGAAATGAGGACAAAATATTTTAAAATTTCTGCTTAAACGAAAATATTAAATCTAACGCCCTGGGGGACGGGTTACAGGGTCTCCCACCCTTCTTCCTTTACCACCAACCTCTTTTGTGGACTTTCGGCTCGCCACATATTTAGAGTGTCCCCATGCCTCACAGACACTATACATTTAACAAACATCCATGCTTTATCCGGGATTCAAACCTGGGCCTTTCGATATGGCAGTCAGAATTACTAACCACTATCAAGGTTGGGCGGCGGTATATGTTATTAGAATGATAATTAATATTAAAAAGATTGCTGAATGCTGCTCCAACAGGACTTTTGGGTAATTTTAACCCTTTCCGGCACGCTACCTTTTAAAGTTGGAGTTTTGATTTAAAAAAAAAAGTAGGCAGTCTAATTAGGCCTAGAGGAGCACACAAGTAAAATTTTATGAAGATAGCACTTTCGTTTAATTCTGTGGGTGTGCCCAAAGGGGCACACTGATTGAATAGAGCTTCGAAAAGAGTGCTGAAACGAGCATTGTTGTCAATGAACTGACCGATGAGATGCGGAGAAACAAAGAATACAGACTCTCCGTCGTCCTAGATTATCGGTGAGCCCAGTCTGGGCACACCTAGGGTTCGCCGTTTGAGTTTAGGCAAGATTTCAAGGTAAAAATTTAAATAGAATAAGGATATTAGCACACAGCCAAAAAGTAACATAGAAATTTCTTTTCAAACAATTCCTTTTATACTCTAAAAAAAATTGGGAAGATTTCTTTGAAAAATGAGGGTCTTAAGAAACTAAACATGGCTAAGATATATGGACTGGTTTGTTTTGAGCTGCCCTCTACTATAAATAAAGAAGGTGCAGAGTAACCTACAAATCCTTTTTCATTCATTTTTCTGTGAGTACAGAAGGAAATTTTTAGGTGTGTCCAGACCGGACACACTGTGCCGCAAAGGGTTAACCAATAACAGCTGAAAGTTGCGTTATGAGAATCTGGTAAAGAAAAGTTAATTATTACTGTAAAAAAGGCGTTCCCAACAAGATGCTTTTATAAAAAGCGCACAAATTTTAGCAGCATATAGGTGAAATAGCTGTTATTGAATTTTAATGACATTCTTGAATGTTTATGTGTGTGCTTATATATATTTAAATGAAAGTAAATTTATATATATATATATACCTGTATTTGTATATATACAATAATAAAGTGGAAAGTTATAGACAATAAAGGTCCACTAGCGCCCGAGCGGAAAAAATCCCTAAACACTGGTAGTTCTGACCTGAGCTCGATTCCAGGCGAATGGATTAGCTGCATGGGCGTGATTTTCCCCATTTTTTTACATGTATACGAGCCAGGTCTCCTTAGAAAACTTCTCCAAAGGTATTCCTCTCGTTACGCAAATAATCCTAGCGTGCTTTGCCGTAATCTACCAAACCAAACCTATAGACAATAAACTAACCTTTTAGTAAACAATGAGTTAAAGAAAAAGAAATTATGTATTTATATCATAGCAAGTACTGTCTAAGTCAGATCTAAATTTTTATTGGTTCATTGACATAAGGAACATAAATCGTCATTATTTTAAAAACTTATTTGTGATAAATAAACTCACTCAACCTTTTTCTTGACGGACATAAAAGTAGAAGGTTATAATGTTAGTAATGATATTAAGTCAGACGAATGTAATAAAATTTAGTGAGATATTTAATCAGAATTCCTTGACATAAAGAAAGAAAAATTTTTGAATTAATAAAAGTACTCTTTAATGTTTAATTAATTCCAAAAATTCGCTTCAGTTTTACGTTATTTTACGCTCAAGCATTTTACAACTGTAGTAAATTTAGACGCTGACATCATTTTGTTTTACCTCACTGGCTTTTGACATTATTTTCCGGAGAGTCGTATCTATGTCAGATGGCTCTATGCCATTTGCCTTGGCTGCCTTGGTAAGCGTCTTCTGGGCTTCTTCGACACGTCCTTGGGACAATAACCAGCGTGGTGACTCTGGTAACATCCTATTTAGAAACAATTTTTTGATTATTCAGGGATGTTAATGTGTGTCACAAAGTTAAAAATTGCTCTTATAAAACTAGTTGAGTTAGACTTTTAGCATTCTGAATTTTAAAAATCACTTTTAATTTTGAATTCCAGATAACTTAACAGCGATTCTAAATCATTAATCTGGAAATACACCCAATCTACCACCAACCAAGCAATTAAAGTATTACTGAAGCTATCTTTGGGAGTTTAATTCCAGTCTTTGCCCGTGGTAAATATCTGTGCCTAACCATTTGGTAAATAATGAAACCAATTATTCATTTAAAATCTATTTCCACTATACTGCACTCGACCGTAAAGTTGTTGGACATATGTTGGCAGCCTGGAAGATCTGGCCGCCAAGAAATGTCTTTATTAAATTTTAATATCTACTTATTAAGCTTTTGCTGTGACAGCTGAAGTACGTGCAGGAACCAGAGAGGAGAAAGGTTAAAAGAATACTTTATTAAAACTCTAAAATACAATGCGTGGACTTTACACTAACAGACTACGCCTCGTTCGGAAGGTAGCTCAATTATAAACTGAAGTTCCAAAGATATTAACAAACAGTAGAAATATTCTCCAGGGCTCAGATACTCCTGCTACCTAAAACCACGGCGAAGTCTAATGGTAGCAAAGTAATAACTGTTATGCCAGTTTAACCAGCATTAAATGCAGAACCAGAAGCTCACGCTACTCAAGGTACAGTGCTTGCCTACACTCTCTAATTTTACCTTCCAGAACTCAGTATTTAAACCTCTTCCTCCTCAAGGTAGACTCTGCATTTCTTCACGCGTGCTACCAAATGTAAATATTCTGGCATTGACAATTAGAGAAATGAAGGCTTATAGGAAAGCGTAAACATAAACTTAACTGGTTAGTCAAAATAAATATAAATCGCTACAAAAATAAATTGTACAATTATTGATCGTTTCAAATTAAATTAATAATAAATCAAATTTTTGTTGTACAACTTGGTAATAAAAAATAATTTGCACAACTTGATAATTTCAAATTAAGTAAGTAATAAATCAAATTTTTGTTGTACAACTTGGTAATAAAAATAAATTGTACAACTTGATAATTTCAAATTAAATAAGTGATAATTTCAAATTTTTGTTGTACAACTTGATAATAAAAAATAAATTGTACAACTTGATAATAAAAAATAAATTGTACAATTTGATAATAAAAAATAAATTGTACAACTTGATAATTTCAATTTAAATAAGTAATGCATCAAATTTTTGTTAAACAACTTGATAATAAAAAATGTACAACTTGATAATTTCAAATTAAATAACTAATAAATCAAATTTTTGTACAACTTGATAATAAAAAATAAATTGTACAACTTGTTAATTTCAAATTAAATAAGTAATAAATCAAATTTTTGTTGTACAATTTGATAATAAAAAATAAATTGTACAACTTGATCATAAAAAATAAATTGTACAACTTGATAATTTCAATTTAAATAAGTAATGCATCAAATTTTTGTTGTACAACTTGATAATAAAAAATTTACAACTTGATAATTTCAAATTAAATAAGTAATAAATCAAATTTTTGTTGCACAACTTGATAATAAAAAATAAATTGTACAACTTGATAATTTCCAATTAAATAAGTAATACATCAAATTTCGCACACAGCTTATTTTATTATACATTAAAAAATAGAATAGAATAAATTAAAAGCTTTTTTAGGTTTACAATAAAATATAGATTATACAGAGTGTTTATAAATGAATGGTGCGGTTTTAAAAATTAATAATAAATCTAAGTATTATTTTAATTCAATTAACTGGAGAATAATTACGTAAATTCGCAGTCTGATAAAGTTGCTACTCTACTATAATCAGCAAATGATGTAAGATTTAGGTTTCGCATTCAGTTCAAAATAAATTAATGTAAAAGTTTGCGGTTAACATGAATTAAGGCAGTTCTGAAAATTTATAAATTTATGAGTATATTCGTATTATTTTAATGTCTGTCAACAAACAACTTGGCATAGTTGTTCGTTACAATTAGGAATGTGAGAGGTTTATCTTTCTTTGCCTGTAATGGATAATGGGTTATGTAAATGTTTCAGAAAAACTGAACTTCGAACAACGATTGCGTTGCTCATAAGCATCAACGTTTAATATTTTCTGAGGTCACAGTTTGTGTATATGCAAAGATGAAAGAAATTTCAAGAGTTAGATCGTTCTGATATTCTGTTGTTTTTTAATGTTTTGTTAAATTGATATCTTTATTTTTACTTCGGTAAGCATAACTATAAAAGATGTTCAGGATCGCTAGTTTTGAATCTTCGGTAAAGTAAGATGAAATTTCCTATCACTTTATTTAAGTGATTATAATTTTTTATACTTCAGGAAACTTTCTTAAATGAAGCATACAGTTTATTTAAATAAATATGAGCTAATGTAAATGATTGAGCTAATTCGACGCAAGTAACCTAGATTACTAAATTACAGCTATGGCAATAATTTTATCGAGAGGGGGAAAAAAGAGCAAAATTGATAGAGTCGTTGGCGGATAACTACGGAAGCTCGAGAGCATTCTGCTGTCAAGGACTTATTCTATCTCCAGAAATTTCGTCTTCAAATAATTGTATTAACATTTCGACGAAAAGAGGACGTAAAATTACTCATAAAATTTACTAAACTACAAAACTATGTAAAATATTATAAGTAAAAATTATATTATAAATTTCTAATTTTAGATCAAGATAACTATTTAGTTGGACGATTCATTGTACGAAGTAAAAGAAGTATTATAATCGCGAAAATTTTCGGGCGTCATATTTCAATAAAAATAGCCATTTTGGCCCCTATCGAATCCATCTGATTGATGGTTTTGCATGACATCTGTACGTAGGTACAGAATAACGGATTGTTTTTTCCAAAATAGATTGCAAAATGGATTTAGGAATTTTTTTACGTCTGTACGTACATACGTATCTCTCTCGCATGACTCTAACACGAGTAGCCTTAAAACGTCGAAATTTTTTGTAGATGGCACTGCTATAATATGCAGTTGTGCACCTTCCTTTTTTGTTGCAATCGGGCCCACCAAACGTAGATATATATATGTTACCATTAAAGACCAAAATTGGAGAATGTCGACTTTCACCAGAGAATATCGACTTTCACCGGAGAATGTCAACATTCACCAAATACGTAGGTGAAATATTGAATATTGCATTACATTCTTGTACATTCGGACCCTCACCGGTGTATGTCGACAATCACAGATATGTTCTGGTGTAGGTCGAAAAGAGAGGAGTATATGTACACGCTGTCATTGCAAAAGGAAGTGTTCCACAAATAAATGGAGTTGTAAAAAGCAAGAGCCTCTTGTGCGATTCAAAGTGTCAAATTAGTTTAAATTGTTACAATAAATAAGATTTGAATCACATAATTTAGTAAGTTTTTTCCTATTATTTTCTTTTCTCATTTTGAATGTACTGTGTGTTTTAAGTTTTTATATTCTTAAGTTCTTATTTTAAGTCTCAAATGCGTTTTTCGCCACTGAATTACGGAGAAGAAAATATAATATTCTTATATGTTCAACTTCCACTATTAGTACATGGTGAATGTTGACATTTACCGGTGTAAGTCAGAAATAAGAGTATTTGGAAAATAATTCGGACATACGCCAAGCGACTATGTGAATGTTGACATTCACCGGTGAAAGTCGACATTCTCCAGATTTCGGTAATTTCGCAGTCAGGCATCGGAATGACGAAGCTTGACATCAGAATCCGGACATTGTTGTAGCTGAGTGGCATACAGCAGAATGACGACACAGAAGAATTTAACTTTATTTCCACATCTTTATTCAATTGAAATGGCAGACCATTTTCTTTTAGATGAAATTCAAATTAAAATAAGGTTAAATTTAGGATTTTGACGTCATAACTATTCTAACAAAGGGAGGAGTAAAGGGCAGAGTGTTATAGCAGCGATAGTAGGAAGCAGTCTGACAAAAAATAGGCATCTGTATTTATACTAGTAGTTACGTAACATGCCACAATATTCTCGAAAGTACTGGCCTAAGGAAAATCCTATCGCGGAAAGTTAATTAGAGGTTGCCTGTTCGTGTAGAGCAAAGTCATCGTATTTTTTACTTTTTACACACACAACACATACATACATAAGTGTGTGTAGTATTTTAATAGCGTAGGAGCAATCCAGTACTTTTAACTTCTGACTGTAGACATGGCCGAGGCTGGAAATTTTGATGCGTTGCAGCTTGAAGTCTGCGTAGTTGGTTAGATAGATGCATAAACCAAAACTAGATTCTTGACGAATCACCAAGCTTTATTTTTAGGTACATCAGTTTCATTTCTTTCGAGACAATATACTTTTCGATCATAAACAATTACAATAGTTTTCATATACACGTCATCTTAGAATAAGAACAAAGGAGGGCATAGCAGCATAGAGATGTTTGCATGGCGGAAGCTAGGAAAAGGCATGACGTAGTTGCTTGCGAAGAGTATTTATACTAAGTATGATGCATAGGTACAGCTAATCTATGATTGGTTTGTTTTATGTTATTATGTAACATGGAAAGATCTCGAATTTGGGAAACAGATGAATTTAAGGGAAAAACATAAAATTTAGAATAATTAATTTTGAAGCTGCCAATTAGTTCTTAGAGCAGCCATCGTATTTTGTTACATCTTACATATATATATAGATAGATAGATATACATACCCACTATGTCACCTGTCTTCGTGAGCTTTTCGTTTTTATTCTTATATGTTGGTAAATTGTGCAATTTTTTGCTTTAAAAGCGATAAAAGTTTAAGTAGCGAGTTAAGCTTAACGAGAAACCCATTTGTTTACATTTGAAACTTAGTAGAATAGTGAAGTTAGTTAGCTGGTGCACCAACTTCAGTGTCTTTTTGCTCAGTGGGATAAAAAGTTAACTTTGAGTTCCATGCACCTAAAGTTTTGTCATCCTT